TCGGGCAAAGGGTAAGGCACAGTTGCCTATCTGCTGAATGTCAGCCTGCTGAATCCAATTCCGACAAGGGCCTCCAAGGAGCAAAAAAATGTTCAGAGGTGGTAGGGAAACATGCCTGGTGTGAAAAATGTCCAAACAATGTTGTCCACTCTTCTCAGTAACAAGTTCTTCATGGTTTCTGGTCAGTGCAAAATAAGACAAAGCTTGAGTGAACTGTAAGGATGCAATTCTACTCAACATTGATAAAGGACCTCCTCCATGTCAGATGCAGAGCTTATAAAGATGAACAAAACACAGCCTGTACCCTCCAAGAACTCAAATTTAGGACCAGGTGGCCCATCACATAAAGATGTTCTTAAAGTGAAGAAGTTCTATCAACAGAGAAGTTAGGGAAATGCTGCCAATTCTATTCTCTCTTGGAGATTTACAATATGCATTTGCTTACTAAGGACACTAAGAGGTCCTCCAGGATAGAAACTTGCTTAACTGTGGTTAGTGCATATTTCCCAACTTGGTTTCTCTGCTGATCCCATGGAACCAGAGTTCCTTGGATACAGTTTAGGAAACGCTGGTGTAGGAGGTTTATCTGACCATTGCAGAACCGAGAGGTATAAACATCATGATCCAGCCCCGAGGGGAGAGGCTGTCAAGAGCAGGGTGTTGGGCCCAGCAGATGGACTGGGACTCGGGATAGAACCTTGATTGTAGAGGAAAACTATAGAGTATCACACGGAGAGGCCATGTAGCCTACAGAATGTATGTGCTAGCATAGAGTTGTGATCTCCACAGCAGCTCCCCCTATGCGCAGGGTGGAAGGGAGAGGGTGAGGCAGGGCAACTCAGAGGCGATCGGCCCCTGGGCTCACCCTGCTGCAGCAGGTACCAGGTTCTGTGGACAGCTGCGTCGTCTGAGGCCATCGCCTGCACTGTCATTATGGCTTAGAACCTGGAGCAGGTTTGATAAGAAAAGGCATCCTCCTCAAACACTAATGTGCAGGCACTGTACCAAGTTCTTTAATACAGTATCCCATGGAACCCTTACAGAGACCAAAGACGAAAGTGTCACTAATATCCTCTTGTTGCAGTTGGGGAAACCAAGGCTTGGGTAGGGCTGAATAAACTTGCCCGTGTTCACACAGCAAGACTTGAACCTCAGTGTTACCCCAGAGTCATTTCCTTCAATGCTACAAACCTATTTACATGACTTTGGCACCATTCAGTCTCCATGGAGGCTGGCCTCAGAAATCCTGTTCTGTACCCACATCTGGGCTAAGACAGAGGCAACGCATAAGACCAAGTTCATTTTCTCCTGACCCATTCATTAAAATAAAAAGCATTTTCTGGATAAACATGGGAATGAATATTCCAGGATCCCCTTTTGTCCTATCATGTTATGAAATCTGTTAACAATAATAATGCAAAAAGACATCATCAGTGACTTTCCTGGTGAAAAGTGAAAATTCCTTAGCCTCAGAGGTCTTATTTTCTTCCTCTCATCTTTTTTGTGCAAGCCATGACACGTGCAAGTCGTGACGACTTCATTTTTATACTTTATTTTGCTTGTTCATCTCTGACTTCAATTAAAAGCAGATGAAGTAGGGCAGAGATTCCATCAGTCAAGAATTCATTAGATGTTAACAAAGTGCAAGGCATTGGGTCATGCACACTTAACCAGAGACCATTTCTTGTGGAATCGTTAGTGCCGAGACCTCCTTCATGCCTCTGGCCCCAAGGAGCTCACTTAGTACATCCGTGGTGAGTCTATAGGCCTGAAAGTTGCCTCTGATTTCTGACAGGATCCTCATGAGGGAATCCTGTTCTCCTAGACCAGGAAGGCAATTAAGTGTCACCCCCTCACACTAATGCTCCTAGACCGGGAGAGGCTGCCTAGACCATCAGGTTGAGAAAAGACCCTGATTCCATTGTGTGCCTCAATGGGAAACAAAGTGCCATATTGTTTGCTGATATTTTCCAAAGATAAGGGGCAAGACAAGGGGAATGCATAAGCCAAGCAGTATCTCTGCTCGTACTGGACCCCAAGGTTTGCCTTGTGACAATTTCACAAAGAAAGAGAGAAGGGCAAAGAAACATGGTAGGATAGAAAATGTGCCTGAAGCATCTGGCCTTGTGGCAACACTGAGACTGCTTTAGAAATCTATCCAAACGTAGGGTGGTCAGATCCCCTTGTTTGCCTGATCAATCAGACCTAATGGCTGATAATCTGATTCTGATTGTGGGAAAAAATAAAGTGCCTTTGATGGTCTGAGAAGCACTGTTATAGACAGGAAAGGAATACCAGGATGGCACCTGAGCCAGATGAATTTTTTGTTTCCTTAAAGTTCGATATTTTCTGCATGTGAATATTTCTGCTGGGAACTATAGGACTGTACTGCTTTCATCTCTTACCCATTAGTTCACATTTTGTGGGTCCAGAACAGGTCAGAATCCACAGGTGGGCCCTTTATTCTTAGAAGAGTAAACTACAATGAGAAATCATAGTTGGGCAGGTTGCTCTGAGCCAAATACGATAGCTCATAATTGTCAAGACCAGCAGGCAAATGTGCTTGATTCTGCTCTAGCCCATGCTTCTGTTGGGTTTGTAAAATCAATACAGGGAAAACTCACTAAAGTGGAGCAGGGGAGGCTGGCAAGGGGAAAGTTGGAAAGGGGAGTGCACCACTCCATGTCAATTACAAGGAGAATTGTCAATTACAGCCCAAGAGAAGAATCATCAACAAGAAAGAATCATCAATTACAGGTCCCAACAGGGAAGGATGTACATTGCTTCTAATACAAGAAATCGACCACCCCTACAACTCAGCCAATGAGAAACTGTCATCACTTTGAACTCTTACTTTCCTCCAGTGGACTTTCCTCCAAAACAACCCCTCCCAACTTCTTCCTTCATGATAAAATAAGGGTACTCTCCTTTGTTTGTTGGACTGCCTATGGCTTTACAGTAGTTTGCAGGTCCTCAGTTGCAGTTCTCTGCTATTCTTGAATAACCCATTTTGCTGGTAAGATAACTGGCTATTTTTTTTAGGTTAACAGTATTTATGATTATGACCCTTTTGTATTAAAATTTAATCACAAAAGCAGTACATTCTCCTTGTAAAAATGATCAGAATAGTATTGATTGGGCCAAAGTCTTACCTCCTCCTCATCATCCTTAATCCCAATCCCCTTTGTGGTTACCCAGATATAGCCACTATTGGGGAGGAAAATTTTTTCCTCTGCCCTTGAAGATTCTTCTGCTCGTCTGAGAATCAAATTGACATGAGATAGCTTAATAGGAGAAAATCAAACAAAAGTTTAACAACCTGTATACCTCCTATATACATGGGAGAGATCCAGGCAAATGGAGTAATTTCCTGAAAGGGCTAAAGCCATCACCTTAAATACCATCTTCAGCTAAAGATGGGGGAGGGGTCAGTTATGGGAGGTGACCAGGAAAAGTACAGTCAACAGGGTAGGGTTGTTATGCAGATTTAAATCCGGCCTTCTGCACTGATAACAGTTTCTAGAGATTTAGATTCATCTTCCTATTATTGATACAGTGGGGGAGATACCCTCACAAATGGAGATTTCCCTCATAGATGTAAATGTTTCTTACAAAAGGGGTAACTTCCACTTGATTTTCAGACCTTCCCTTTGTGTCTGCAGTTTCTTAAAAATAACCAGCTTAAAATAATCAATATGCCAAAGAGGCATATCTTGAGATGGCAAGATTTGCTCCCCTACACCACCATAACCAATCTGAAATTCACTTTTCTAGACCTGCTTTGTTTTTATGGACATAAACTGTACCTGCAAAATATATGTATAAAGTATTGTGGCATTTTCTGTGTGCAAGCAGGTTCACAAAAATGATACCATACTATGGATAACATTCTTCAACCTGATAATTTCACATAACACTCTATCTTGGAGAGCCTTCCATGCTAGAACACATTAGACCTACAATCTTTTTCAAACTGCTACAAAATTTTTCATAGTGTGGGGAATCCCATCATGTTAGCAATTCCTCTGTTGTTTAGAGAGTCAGATTGTTTCCAAATCTTTCCCCATGATGGATAGTCCTATGGGGAACATCCTTGGGGGAACCCGTTATTGACACATGTAAGTGTTTCTTGATGGTAGATGCCAAATGGGTGACTGTATTTTTTTTTTTACTAGTTGTTGCTCAATTGTCCCCAAAAGTGGCTAACACCAATTCTTCATCACATCAGCTGTGTGTGAGCAAGACCCAGTATCTGACATCCTTATCAACCGTTGACATAACCAAGTAGTCCACATCACCTTCATCTCTACATTGTCTTTGTATCTTAAGTGCCTACAGCAGTGTGGCTGTCACACAGTGGGGGCTCAAAGAATATTTGTTCATGTTTCCATATTTTCCTATGGAGAGCCCTCTCCTTCACCTTGCTTACACCTACTCACCTCTTAGATGTCTGCACCAGGGACCTTTCCAGAACCCAAGGTTAGATGAGGTTGTTCACCTGTGTATTCATAATGCTCTCTCTCAATGCACTTGTTATGGTTTATTATTTTTTATATGCTGTCTCTCTTACTAATCTCTGACCTGCTGAACACCAGAGAATGCCTTTGCCCCCTTCTGTGTCTTCATCACCAGACCCGGGCCCCACATGTAGTAGGCATTCAATAAGAGCTTTTAAAATAAAGGCCATTGTCAAGCAGCCACATCCACAATTGAATGAGAGCCCATGCAAATAAACAGCATATCAGCAGAAGGAAAAATTAAGCTGTCAGTCTGCTGAACAGCAAAGATTTCTTTTCTTTATTTCAGGCCTTTTAATGTGACAGAAGGAGGAGGGCGAGCAAAAGAAAAGCAAAAATATAACAGGGCTCTGGAAATGCTTTCTGTTTTAATGTGGAAATCGACTGGCACATCAGTCCATGGCCATTGCCAGGGAGAGGGCATCTTGGCCCTTCACTGTCCCCTGAGTGACCATCTCCCGCCCTTCTGTCCTGTCCCCTCAGGGACCACGGTGTTGCGGATGACAGCCTTTGATGCGGACGACCCGGCCACAGATAATGCCCTCCTGCGGTACAATATCCGACAACAGACACCTGACAAGCCGTCTCCAAACATGTTCTACATCGATCCTGAAAAAGGGGACATCGTCACTGTCGTGTCACCTGCCTTGCTGGACCGGGAGGTGAGCTGAAAGATACACATCTTCTTTTTCATGAAAATCGAGCATGGCTTTCACAGGAGGGAAGATATGGGGCTTCAGGCAAAGGCACTTTATATGGAGTGACATGAAATGTTTACCCATGGTTGGGTAGGGAACTCTATAAAGGGAATTGCGGACCCCAAAAACACACTCTATAAAAGGCCACATCCTTAGGAATTATTTGTAGTCATTCAACCCGATGCCTCTGTTTCCTCACCAAGCACTTATTCATGAGCTCTTGTGATGGGACTTTAGCTCTCCTTACCCATCAGCCAGAGGGAGGGGATGGGACGAAGGAAGGAAAGGCAAGCAGGAAGGTAGAACAGGGGCAAAGGGGAGGGAGGTGGCTTTGTGTTTGCTCACAGAGACAGGTGGCTTTGACTTCTCTTCTTTCCCAAACCCTCTGCTGTGTGTGCCACTGTTTTCCCCAGAAACTCTCCTGCTTCAACCTTAGGCTGGCACTGGGAACCCTCACCCATTTTGTAGGTCAGGTGACACACAGAGGTGACCCAGGGACTTCAGTCAGTCCACACTCTTGCTCTTTGTTTTTGCCTAGGGTGCTTTCAAGTTTTCCCATTAGTTGCCATGTGAAAATGTTTAGATTTCATATTTGTTTTAAAAAAAATTCCAACTTCCAACCTTCCTGAAAGTCACAAATTTTGGACATTTTAGCCCAGTTTCCACATATGGACAATCAGTTACATGAGATGTGACAGTCAGATGGAGCTGATGGTCCCAGTCCCATGTACCTGGGTCATGTGTTCCTGCCCCGCTTATGTCCCCCAGTGTGTGCCCCCTGGACCTGGCCCTTCTTCTGAGCTCCAGGTCACACTCTGCAACTCCCCACAGGGCTCAGTAGGAGAGACTCTTGGCCCGTCAAACACAGTTTATTAAACCAACTTAGGGATTCCCCTCTGTCCCTCACCCCCTCCATCCACCCCAAGTCTGCTCCTTTCCTGGGATTCTTTGTTCCCAACATGACATCATCCCACAGACATGACCCCTGCCATCACCCTTGACCTGCAAGCACCACCCGCCCCACAGTAACTGCTGGGTTTCCCTAATGGACTCCATGCCTTTTCCCCTCATGTCTTTGATTAAACAAATCCTTGGGTCAGAAATGCCTTCTCCTCTCCTTTCTGACTCTCCACGCTATAGCTTCTCGCAAGAATCTAGGTTAGAGCCACTGCCTTTAAGAAGAGGCTTCCTGAGAGGAAGCCTGGGTGGCTTAGTCGGTTGAGCATCCAACTCTTGATTTTGGCTCAGGTCATGATCTAAAGGGTCATGAGATCAAGCCCCATGTTGGGCTCCACGCTGGATGTGGAGTCTGCTTGAAATTCTCTCTTTTCCTCTCTCTTTGCCCCTCCTCACTTGCTCTGTCTCTCTCTGTCTCTTAAAAAAAAAAAAAAGAAAAGAAAAGAAAAAGAAGAGTCTTCCTGAGACCTGAGTCTTCCACCGCCTTGGTGTTCCCCCAGCTTCAGACTGCACTTACCTGTAGCCATTGTACGCATATGCTCCGTTAAGCTGTCATGGGTCTCCTTAAAGAATATCCCCTTCCTCTGGGTCTAGATGTATATTGCCCAACACAGTAACCGCTGGTCACATGCAGTTATTTAAATTTTAATTTACATTCATTGAAATGAAAATGTAAACATGTATCAGCCAGGACAGACATAGAATATTGTCACCATCACAGAAAGTTCTGGTGGGCAATGTTGACCTTGACTACACGGCTATGGAGAACAGAGACTGTGATCCTTTGCGTGTCTGGAGCTCCAATGCCTACTAGCACACTTAGGGCACTCCTGAAAATCTGCAGTATACGTTTTTGGGGGTACAGGCAAGAATGAGTTGGATGTGACACTAAGATTCTGCACTCCGGGGGTGGGAATCCATAGCTAGGAATGGGAATTCCTGGAAGGGAGGAAGAGAATGATGAGGATCTGCATCAAAACCGCGGCTGTCACTTGGAAAATGTGATTGTGGCTAGCTAAAAATAAGAAAGCGGGGAGAAAAGGAACATACCGAGTCCACTTCCTCCATGTTGTGTCCTGTTCTCTTTCCAGCCCCATTTTTATGACGGCTCAATGCTGTATTATCTCCTGCGGAGGCAAGGAATGACTTTCCACCTCTGTTTATTCCCTGCCAGCATGCATGTGCACGTGCGTGTGGACACTCACACGCGCACACATGCACACAGCAGTTTTCCCAATTCTCCCAGAGGTACTTGCAAATTTTTACAAGGCAAAGTCGAAATGCAGTGATTTCTCTGGCTCAGCTTCTCTTCCTACTGACAGAGATGTTTTGTAAGTCTCTATTTATAAACCGAAGGGATAATATAATGGATTATTCCATTTTTAAGGGTTATTTTGGGGACAGATGTGTTTTAAGCTCATGATCTCTTCATTTGGGTTTTTGTTAACTCCCAATAAGCATGTAATTATGGGAGTTGAATTAAGCGTTTCTGGCCACAGTACATAAACAGCTCCCTCCAAAAAAGATAAACACAATTTAACCGAAATTAGAAAATCAATGAAAATGAATAAAGAGTGTCACTTCTCTGTAAGGGTTTCCAGAGTTCACTGCTGACCCAGGCAACATCAGTGTGATCTGAAGGAAAGAAACGTCTCTGAATGTAGGCAAGCCTTGTCTATTTACTAGTGCTGCTGTAAGCTTCTCCAGCAACTTTGCTGAAAGGCTGAAACGTGCCTCCACGTTCCCCATCTTTAAAGGGACAGAGCTTGCACATCAGACTTCTAACCTCACTACCCCTTTCCTGTGATCAAGTGCCCAGGATGGGCTCCCACAGCAGGCTTATGGAATCGTTTGTCATTATTTCCAGAGAACTTCTGAGTAGGCGTCCTGTCCTGGGTGAGGTTTTCAAGTCTACTTCTAGACCATCTGAGCAGCCCATTGAAAACATGATCGCACCATTTATTTTTAAGACAATATTCCACTGGGACACCTGCAAAGCTTGATAGGATTCAAACCGATTGTTGTTTTGTTACTGTGGCTTTGGGCCCGGGATCTCAAACAGTATGTTTACGCGTGGAATACTGTGGGTGTAAACAGATAGGTCGGGAAGTCCTTCCAGAGCCAGGGCCCCTGTGATTAAATAAATAGTGTGCTCTTGTTTGGCCCCACCTGGTTGGGAGTGGAGGCTCTGGAAGGCTCCTGGTTGGCACAGTGAGCTCAGTTGATAGGACATAAATTTTTCACCTTGATTTTCCATTTAGTTCCTTTCCTTTAATGAGTACGTCCCCAGGGAGGACCCTGGAAGGTGAGGTAAAACTTCAGGGGAGGCCAAGGGCACTGTTGTCTTTGAACCCACCTTTCCCACATTTACTTCAGCATAGAGCGTGTCAGGGAGGATAGTCAAGGACGCTGGCAAATGATCTT